AATCAGGTATCACACTTCAGTTATTGTATTTTGGGAATGCTTATTAAAAGCTTGTTTCCCAGAAGAGGAATCGTTCAGACTAGTATCATTAATGTTATTGAGTATCATTAGTACAACAGTATTGCAGCACACACTGCTTTGTATTGTACTCACCACACTGCAGGAATTCTGCTTTAAACAAAAGGTGTGATAACATCAGGAAATGTGGGCTTAGCCTTCACTCTTCTGTTGCCTCTGTCCCCTTTCACCTTCTGTTTGTTTGTGCTTCCATCAGATACGAACCTCCATTATTTGTAACAATTCAACAATCTTTGGGGTGACTTAATTCATGGGGTAAAATGGATTTAAACAAAGCCAGTTGATCCTCTGATAAGTAATCAATTATTCTACAAGCTCTGGAGCATGCAAACAGTTACAAACCCAGCCATTTAATTGTTTCATGTTTCTGCAGCTGTGCAATATCTCCCTTTCCCAAGGGGGCTGTTTCCAGTTGCTGCTCAAGGTTTCTAACAATCAAATGGATCAATTCTGCAGATACCTTAAGGCTGTGTGTTAAGTAAGAATGATGTTTGTAGTCTGTGTTGGGTGGGGAAAGAGAGTAGAAAAGAAAATCTATTCACTAGGAGATGTTAAGTAATTTTGTTTTAAACACTGGACATTTATTTAGAGTCTTTAGAGTTCATACATTATTGAATAATTTTAATTTATCACATCCAAATATAATAGGCAAATATATAATACAATAAATTGCATTTGTAGACATAAATACAAAATTTGAGGTAGGGCCTCAAGAATAATGACTTCTTAAATGAATAACGTACAGCATTATATTATGCCCTACATGAGATATGTATGATGCAACCTTAGTAACATAATACATCTTCTCCACGTACAGCTAATGAAAAAAAAAAAAAAAACAATGACCTGGTTAGGGTACATATCTTTATCCATAGGCAGCAGTACCCCATAGAATGCCTGTAAATATATATATATATATATATATTTATATATGACATTACGCAAGTAATTAAGATTTAACCCATCAGCGATGGGTCTGTAGTAAAGTGCCATAGGACACAGGGAGCAAATTCTCAGCTGGCGTAAATTGTCACAGCTCCAAACAAAGCTGTGACAATTTATACCACCTAAGCATCTACTTTACAAGCTAATACTACATAATATAAATGACAGATAACATGTCATAGTCAATTTACAATTTCCCTAACAATGGAAGATAGCTATAAGGCAAATGGTTACCTGAAGATGCATTTAGGTATTATGGGCAAATAATAATATTGCAAGCGATAAGGTCCAGCCTGGTTCTTGCCTTACGTTAAACCCATCAGGAAAACCTTCCCTCTTTGGTGATAGGCTGCCTGAAGACAGAAACCATAAATAACCCACCCACCCCCCTCAAGTCATCAACCCAAGTCCCTCTGGAATACCAAGATCCGGCCATTTTACCAGTACCTGATGTGCAAACAGCTTAGCTACCAACTAACAAACACCAGGCACAGCAGGGTTCATGGTGAAACAGAGACGCCTTGGGAGGCCTTTTGCCAAAAGCTCTGCAGCCTGCAACCCACACTCCATACCAGTCTTTGACTGCAAGAAAAAGTGGAGTTGCAGAAGAAGAAAACAACAGGAAATCAAGCTCTGTCATAAATAAGCAATTGCTTTTGTCACAGGCAGCAAGAAATCATATTATCCTTATAACTTTACATATATTAAAACAAACAAACAAACAAACTGAAAGGTATCAAAATAAATCAGCATTTTGAGTTTCATGGTAAGGGATAGCCACAGTGCATTGGAAGCAATGACCTTCAGTGCCAAGGCTAATGCAGACATCAAAACAGAGCAGAACCTAATAAAAAAAAAAAAAAAAAAATAGTTTGACCCAATTGAGCATCATGTAAAGACAATCCAAGCCTCTCAATTAAAGGTCATTTTGTTAAACCCTTTTCTTGGGAACAAAGTGCTGCCATGTCTAGTTGAAACACAAGTTTTGAACATTGCATGTTAAAAAGACCAGTAGGAAGACCCCCAACGAATTTGAAGATGGCGAACATTTCATTGTGATCATTAACACATACAACAGTGCATTTCGGCTCGTTCAGAAGTTCAGTTTCATTTCAAAGAAAATATATGCAATAAAACTAATTCTCATCAAATTTGAACATTTTTACTCACGAGACATAGATCTGCAAGTAAGCACATCACATTTTTACTAATATGGCTTTTTCCCCCCCTTTTTTTTTTTTTTTTTTTTTTTTAATGTTTAAAGATCTTTACCAGTACTTAATTAGTTACTAAATTTCTCTTTAGAAAATTATTAAAGTACGTGCAAACTTTTGTAGAACATACTAAGCTAAGTGCATTCCCAAATAGCAAGGTTACTTCTCATTTAAAGAGGACACTGCTGGTTAATTTAATCTCAACATTCAGATCTGGACAGTGAAATACTTCTTTTTAGAAGCCTAGCATGAAGAAATTCTGCTTTTAATATATAGTGAACATTTCATATCTTCTGTACTCTTCTCTCCATCTCTCCAAGTGTTTTTGCATGTCTAGTATTGAAGGTCAAAGCCAAAGACAAAAATCAACTGGAAGAACATCACTCTCTATCATCTGTAATCAGTTTGAAAGTCAGGTCTAATCCTGTGATAGGGATTTAACAGGCACAGGAATAGCACAAATGAAAATAGTGCAGATTAACTATAGGATTCATGGAAGGCAATTTTTCATATGTATTTCATTTTGGCAACCCAAACCAAAGGACAGATCTCATCATCTAGCAGTATTCCTTCAAATTATATTTCTTTTATTCTTAACATAGACAGCAACCAACTTCCTCATACTGAGACAATTTTGTTGCAATTAGTAAATTACGGTCCCAATGCACATCCTGAGACAAAGATAAGATTTGAAAGGATTCAGAACCGTTACATGATTTGACTGTGGTTTGTTTTTTTCTTTAAGAGGAACAAGCCTACAGATCTATTGTTTCTTATCACAACAGTAAGAAAAGCAAACCGGACTGGACTCCAAAAATCAAGCCAAGAAGCTAGATACTATCAGTAAAGAGAGGCCTAGAGCTTTCTATCCTGACCAAAATGCATAAGTCTCACTGACTTAGGTTCCTTTCTTCACCCAGAAGTGCTCTCAGCCTCAAGCAGATGTAGAGGCCAAACTTCCATTGCATCAGCGTGGCTTCTCACACCCACCTCTGCCAGGACAATAAAAGCCAGAAGAATAGAAACCCCCTTAAGAAATCGTGGGCAAAGCTGAAAAGTAGGGGCACAGCTTTAAGGCAGAGAAGCTGCAGTGGGGTCCCATCCTGCTGCCCAATGAGATGAGGACTGGCAGAGCAGAGATTCAGGGGCCAGCACAGATTGTAGCTAAATCCAACCTCAGAGACAGCCATGATGGCATTTTCTTGTCCTGCGTGAGGATTAAAGGTCTCCAGCAGTGCTTACAACTGGCAACACTAATTGCCCCATGAAAGAGGAAGTTCAGCAAAATGATTTATATATTTCATATACATATATATATATATATATACACAGAGAGAGAAAACAAGTTAACGCATAGAAGTGTTACATCAAGATTTAGGTTTTGCCTTGTTTTCTTCTACAGGAATGGAACGACACGACACATTTACTGATCTACAGACAAACTAACTGAGGATTTACCTGAGACCCTGTAATATGAAGACAGACAGACAAAAGAACTGGAAACAGTCCCCTGCAAGGAAAGAACATTTACTGGCTACTACAAGAGTGTGTGTGGGGAGGGAAAAACAAGCTAAACTACTCTAAGCTCACCATTTCTACACTGGTCGATAAGATATTTATAGGGACGTAAAACATCACTAGTACACACTACATGAACACTGATCACTCTTAAAAAATATCATTTAAGTATGTATAGGATATAACAAGATCATAAAGATTATTATGTTTTTGCCAATTAGTGTAGATATATTTTTCTCCCTCATTCTAGTGCATTTACAATAAAATGGGCTAATTTTCTATTCAGTTAAATAAATGTACTCCTAAAAAGCTCTATTTTTTACTTTGCCCAATAAGTAACAATTATTTAAGTCTAACATTCCTATTGCCACACAGAACTGATGCCTAAAATATAATGATTTAGAATGTCCTATCACTCCCCCACCCCCCCCCAGCCCTCATGTTTTGTACATCTGTTGCTGCATCCCTGAGGATGACTGCAGTGGTTAATTGTTGCTTTTTTGTCTTCTTTCTATGTCATGAAAACATTCTAAATAGGAGAAAAAAGAAGAAGAAGAAGAAGAAGAAGAAGAAGAAGAAGAAGAAGAAGAAAACTATGTAAACTATGTACATTCCAGAGAATACCATTTTGAAGAATTTATGTGCTATATATATAATATATAGACAACTGGGGTTTTGCCATTCCCCATTGGCTGAAAGAGAAGAATACATCTAAAAGTAGTATAAAGAATGAGAATGAAGGGGGACTCACAAGGCTGAACAGCACATCTAACTTCTAATAAATGTTGCTGAGTGATAACCAGACTACACTTACCACTGTAAGAATACAAAGTTAGGCACAAATTATATGATGGCTTCTTGAGGAGATACTGTAAACGAAAGCAGAGAAACAACGAAACCATGTTCAGATACCGAAGAGAGTAAAACCGCAATTTGGAGGAACATGTGTGCAGTTGGCCAGAGCAGCCAGCTTTCAGATGTGTGGTATAACTGAGTTATTTCCAATGGAAATGACAGATACCAAACTTCGGAAGGAAATGTGTGGCAGCACTCTAATTGTAATGCCCATGCACTTCATGCTGGCACTATTTCCAAACCACCTCTTGACTCAAATACAATTTGCTCCAATCTCAAATGATATTTTCTTTTTTTCCTGAACTTTGCTTTACTTTCCTATGCAAAAAAAACATCAAATGGACATAGATCAGTGTTTCTGCTCTGATCCCATATGTTGCTTACTGGCATTCTGTTTCAACGGTCTGTTTGTTCACTCTCATCCTTCCCTTTGATTACATTGGTAACAGAATTTTAGTCCCACCTTTAGCTGTTATAAAGGATCTTTTGTTTATTCCTACACAGCCCAACAAAACCTGGGATGTAACCCATTGTGCAGCATGGTTTTGCTGTCTCAGTCAAGACATAATACAGCATGGGCATCACCTACGCCTGGAAATGGTCTAGCTAGGTCTCCCCTGTGGCATGCAACAGTAAATCCTACTTCTCTAAGCAACCACTTCCAGGCATTGCAGGGAAGAAAAAAAATGGTGGGGAAACAAATCAGAAAGAATAGCTGAAAAGGATGACAATGTTTCTGTCACCAAGGTAAGAACAATTAGCATTGGGTCCCCAGTTCTATGTCCTTCACTGGCAGTTTAAGTCCCAAGGAAGAGGTTCCCAGTGGATCAATCATATTCATGTAACGTTCACCACGGTGCTTGGCCAAAAACGGACCCCAGTCTGGCTGTGGAGAGCACACCAACTTGAGTCGCTGCAATGTAGGGAAGAGAAAACAGAGTCTCATTGGAGTTACGGAGCAAAACATAGTGCAGAAGAAAGAAAAGCAGGTTTGTTTGAGGTTTTTGACAATGACCCTGCAATGCTCCACTGCTCAGTGTTTGTTTCATACAAAGTTTGCAAGACTAATAGAGGATAAAGTGCTCAGATTTTAATTATTCATTCTCCCTTGCACCATATGAGGGGAGCTCAGATCTACTGCTACAGATTGCCAGGCTCGCTTACTGAAGGACATGTGCACAATTACTTAGCCCAGTTGTCTAAGCAGTGGGTAAGCATTAAAATAATTGGATTTCTGTTTAGCATATTTCCCCAAAGTATACAAATGACCAAAAAGTAGAACATTGCTATGAATGAACCAAGATTCTCATTTTGAGATGACAAAATATTTCACTTCTATCCTCTGCAAAAAGAAAGAGGAGAACATTAATGTGGCAAGCAACAACAAACTTTTCATCTTTCCGCTGATTTCCTTATTGAATAGATCATACGATTGGCTATTTACAGGTAAAAAGGAAAGAAAACATATTTCTGATGACTTAAGAGGGAGCAATTACATGTTTATTACCCAATAAAGTGAATCAGGCCTCTATAGCAGTTATTTTAATCTCTGCTTAATTGCCAGTTTGCAACACTTACCTCCCAGATCAACCATAATAATTTTATGAAGCAGACCCAATGTTCAGAAAATACTGGGCTAGGGATGAAATAACTTCAGCAAAAGCCCCTTCAAAATATGTCCGACTTTTTGGCATTTCTTTGGGTGCACTACCAGAAGGACAGTAAGGGTAGCATCTTTTTTTTTCAGGCCACATACTCAGTACAGTACAGGTGAGTTAGAAGATCTGAAGCACAGCTATTTGTCTGAACGAGAGAAGCAGTGAACAAGCAATTCTAATTTCATGTTAAGTCATCTCCAGTAGTAGTTCTCTCTCCTGACCTCTGCGCTCCAACATGCACTACACAAGGGCTGAACAGCCCTTTAGACAAGTGACTTTGCTGCCTAGTGCCAGCTGTGTACTTGGATGCTCTCCCTAGGGCATCTCACCACTTCATGTTAAATTTCTTTGCTCTTTATGAAATGTAAAAACGTGATCTTTTCCCTTGGGCACATGTAGTGTGAGAGACCAAGTGAATATTCTACCTTAGTAAATTTTGCTCTCTTCATTTTTCTAGGTGTAAAACAGACCCAATGGATTTTTGCAGGAGAGCCAAATTGACAAAACTGCTATAAAAAGGGGAGATGAGTGCCTGCTCTTTATCCGAGGAGAGAATGGCACAAGCAGTAACAGCAAGGACAGAGCAGAACTGAGAAAGACTCAGAAGGGGACCGCCTCATTTCCAGAGCGATGAGAGGAAGCAGCAGGTATCTGATTTACAAAACAAAGCCTAAAAAAGCAGCCTAGAAATCAAGTGCCACCTGTTGTTTTTTGGTTGTTTTTTTTTTTTTTTTAAGCTCAGACATCACAGCAGAAGAGTTTATTCAGTCAGCAAAGTAGGTTGAGCTGTAGAGCATGAGATCTTTTTGTCTTTCTTATATTTAGCCTTCATGGATGGGCACAGCCTTCTGGAACACCCCCATGGGACGCGGGTATGACAGCCTATCACTTTGCAACCTGCCATGTTGTGATGCCATCTCCTAAAGCCCATGGGGCTCTTTGCAGTGCAGCACATACCAGTGGTTGGGTGAAGATTACTGCTTTGACACGCCACAAAGCTGGGATAACTTTCTTCCATTGACACCATTTCCAGGGCTTATGAAATTTGCAATGGCTACTTCTCTTAAAAGCCATTACTTAACAATTTAGGAGCATTTTGTTGAGCAACAGGGATCACTTTGCAACACAATGACTAGCTTACCAGCAAGTAAATCTTTGCAGCATTAGCCATTCGATATTACAAAAATTTATGTAAAATAAAAAGAGACAGTCTCCTGCGTCCACATTTTTAAGCAGCAAAAAGAAAGCAGAGTTACCTCAATAAATTTGCCTGGGGCCAGATGCATTTTTATCACAAACATCACTGGGATCCAAATAACTGAGCAGGCCAGCATCAGCCACCCAAGCACCATCGACCAGCCAGGGTAATGATAAGCTCCATAAGTCATCGGTTCCCATTGGTAAAAACTGAAGCAAAGAATAAACTGGAAACAAGGGAGAAAAAAGTCTGAATGAGCAAAACGAATTGCTATGTAGCCAAGGGCAGGTAACTGTGCACACGGTCTGCATGGGATATAGATATAAGTACATACTGCTAGGCAGAGGGCTCTCACCAAATGTAATGAGCAGGTCAGAGAATGAATCTAATGAGTTTCATGGAAATCTTGCAAAATCCCACAAAAATCTGTATTTATGCCAGAAGAATTGAAATTAGAATCTTGCCCCTAGAGTAACAGGCTTTATTACATGGTCTATTGGCAGTTTTATCTAATGTGATTATGTTAAGTTACTCCATTTCATTTATGGTATGAATAGCAATACATCTGCTTACATTTGTGCATAATTCAGTAACTTTTGGGAAATGCATGTGCTTACAATAATTGCACACAGAAGATTTATAGTAGCATAACTAGGTGAAGGTGCATATAAAATGATTGGTTTTCTTTCCAGAGATGCGGAGGAGCTGAAAGTCTAATATTAGACTATTCAAATGTATCAAATATTAGTTTTAAAGAAGCCATAATAGAAAAATAAATGTATTGCTTGGTTTTGCTTTGTCCATTTCCATAGTACAAAAATTGAACTATGAGTGATCAGTCTCAAATTATTTCTCACTCCAAGGTCACTAAATATTACAGATGGAGAGAAAGCAGCAAAGCATGAAAGCCTGAACTGACCTCACTTGCTTTACAAGTTTGCTTTTCGTAAGAGACAACATAATTTTGTATTCCCTAGTTGTGATTACTGGCAGCAGCTAAGCCTGCAAGTCTGATCAGTAAAGCAACCAACCAATTAGCAGAAATTGCTTTATAGTTCCCTTCAGAAGCATAACAATGGTTCTAAAGCAGATCTTGAAAACATTCATGGAAAGAAATAGGCGAAAAAGAAAAGAGAATATGTGCACACGTTTCTTAACAAGACCCACAAGGAAGCATATGTTCACATTGATACAGTCCTAGCACTGTTAATTAAAATGGGCTACACTTTCAAACGTAATGTCCAAACTGTCCAAATGCTCATAAATTGCCACAGCTGCCACCAGGCAGGTGAGCCAGATCTACATGTTTTCCAGGCATGGCAGCCCTATGCTTTGGTGAAGACAGTCAAGAAAATCTACAGGAGAGGGCAGAACACTTCCATTGCAAATGATTCTGTAAACACCTACAGCATGGCTGCTGGAAAGATGGTTCTCAGCTTAGGATGTTTCTTCTTATTACTCAGGGTTCTGTTAAGTTAACTAAAACCAACCAGTCCCTTCACCCATATTTCTCTATGCTAACACAAATTTCTTCAGTTTTCAGAAGAAATGACCTAATTCCTGAACTAACATTACCTGAAAGAAGTAACCAACTATGGAAGATGCCTTCCACCTCCTCTCCATCCCAAAATCAAAGAACTTCCCAACATTGTGCTGAGAGCCTGATTTCAAAACATGGCACACACTCAAAGAGCGTAATTGTATTTTGGGTAAAATATAAAGGAAATATTGTGTTAGAGGGTCAGACTGTCAACAGAGCAGCAATACGTTGAGCCTTGGACTTGGAAAAAAGTCCTATGTTTCATAATGGCAAAATGAAGTAGAAGTCCTCTTTTAGACTAAACAGAGATGCTATGGAGACGCTACTTGGAAGTAAAGCCTATCTAAAAGATATCGATTTGGCAATGTTCATCTTGAAACGTTACGTCGTTAAAGGCAGGCGGGCAGCAGCGCCGGCAGCCTGGGGGAGGAGGAAGAGGAGAAAGAGGAGGAGGAAGAGGAGGCGGCACTCCCACTTCCTGCAGGGCGCTGCCGCCACCTGCTGTCCTGCGCTGCCACCGGCACGGCGTGCCTCGGGGAAGCCCGGAATTCCTCGTTATAGGGAGGGAGAAACACCGAAGGGGATTATATTTGTTATTAAGGGCATGCATATTCCAGCCTCTGCAAAAAATAGCTCCGGCTTTGCAGAGCAGCCGTCACTGAGATCTCCATGAAACTCTTTCCGAAGCATACAGCGTGCTGAAAACAAGATTTTCCCTAACAGCTTGAGAAGAGAAAGGGACTATGTCATTCTCTCTGTGTATATACACACACATCAAATACACACACCCAGAATAACCAAACCATGCTGTTGTGCCACGGTATGCTGTGCCAGCATTTGATGCAAACAGGGAAAGGCTTCAACAGCACTGCAGGGAGTCCCACCAGCCCAAGAAGAACAAAAAATACACAGGAAAAGGCACCAGCAATTCTTGCTTACTGTTAAGATAGTCGGGGTCACAAAGGCCCAACAGACTCGCCAGAATTTACTTGGCTGGAATCCAATCATCATTTCTATATCTTCACAAAACCTTTGCAATCCTGTAAGTTGAAAAGGTAAATGCAATTAGAGGTGAAAGAAACTGGTTTCAGTTTGTGACACAGCTTGTGATCCTCCTTATGTCTAATTACAGAATGAATTGTGACATGTCTAATTACAATAATGAATTGTGACATGTTAGCTGAAAACCTCAACTGAAGGATTCTAACGACAAAGTCAAAAGTGACACCAATTCCAATGAACTACTTGATTCCCAAGGATTAAAAACAAAAATGGAGTTTTTAGCAGAGATTAATCATTGAGTTTAGAACCTTCCAGGTGGAGGCATGATGCAATTCTGTGCATACTTGTTACATTTTTTGGGGGGGGGGAAGCCTTACTAACAACAAAAATTAAATAAACTGCTTTAGTTAAGACATGTCTTTAGGTATGACATGATATGCAGCCAGTAAAACCAGTCAGCTGCATACTTGTATCAACACAGATAATATCTGAGCCTCTATACCTACTGTATTAAATAGCCTAATTTTGACACTCATCATCTCCTGATATTTTTCAACCAATATGTAAGCAATGCTTAGAACTATTGGAGAGCACCACAGAGTCACAGAATGGCCAGGGTTGGAAGGGACCTCAAGGATCATGAATCTTCAACCCCCCTGCCACATGCAGGGCCAGCAAACTCCCCATTTAATATTAGACCAGGCTGCCCAGGGCCCCATCCAATCTGGCCATGAACAACTCTAGAGATGGGGCATCCACAACCTCTGTGGGCAGCCTGTTCCAGCACCTCACCACTCTCACAGTAAAGATCTTAAGCACCAGTAAATCTTTAAAATTCTATTTAGTGTCATTCAATTGAACAGACTGACTGACATGTTGATCCTTCAGATTATTGTATCGATTGCATCTATATGGTCACTTGAGTTAATAAAATGCAGAAGATTGGGAAATGCTATTTCAGACATTTCCAGTTATCTCCTTGGCCATGCCACCCAACCAAAGCCAGTCTGCGATTCAGCCTGGCTCTGCACTGCTGTAAATATCAATGGGCCCTCCTCAATTCTACAGCTATTTGAGATTTAACCACAAAAGAATTAAAAAATTCAAGGCTGAAACATGTTACAGCTCGTCCAATGGTGATGAGAAGAAGGAAACCTAGGGTCCTCCATTAAGTGGACATTTCAAACTTGGGCCAATTTGATTTGATAAAGTGGGTGATTGTCTCTGCCATTTACATTGTACAAAGCATTATTCTACACAACTTAGTCTTGTTTCTAGGATGTGGAGACAGGGATGGAGCTGGAAAGTCCTTCAGTGAAGGAGGAAATTCTCAGAAGAAAAGCAAAGAGTTGCTTTATGTTCTCAATGCCCTTATAGCCAGCCACTGCAGCTATAGGGATAATCCCTAGGTTTTGTCTCCCTAATTTTGAAGCTTTTCTGCTATTATTGAGGAGAAATTAATCTATCCACCTGACTTCTAACAATTAAGAATGGATGCCCTAGCATATAAAAAATAGCAATGTCTCAGAGCTCAGTGGCTCACTGTTCAGCATCTTCTGATGCACCTCAAGGAGAACAGCAGGAGCTAGAGCAGCCCAAGAACTGAGCTTAGCAGTGAGCCCAGAGTAAGCCAGCATAGGCAGATAGCATGCAAGAGAAAAGCTGAAAACTGTTACTGCAATAAAAAGATGAAAATCCAGAAACTAAAGAATGTGGTACTGCAAGATCTGTGCCTATCTTATTCATCGTGTGCTTCTCCTTTTTGTAACACAAACCTTTGCATGCCTGGACTGAATGTAACACCCAGGACTGCTCTGTGATGGATGTGAAAGCAATCTTTGCAGTAGCTGGATGATTAGCCCCTCTGGTGTGTTTTCCTGCTCATTCCAGCTCAGTGAACTATCTGCAGCAAGCTATTTGGGAGATGCTCAGCAGCAGCCATCCCTGCAGCACACTGCAATAGCAACCAAATTGGTTAAACTGGTTGCAGCAACAAAAAATGTAGGCTGAAGTATCCACACGTATTAGAGCTAGTCTGAGTGCCTCTACCTTGGCCACACTTGGAACTGCAATGGAGCTCTACCTGATTATGTAGTTACCATAGGATTCTGCCTCTAAAATTTGGGCAAGCTTTGTGCAGATTTGACCTGACTTGCTTAAAACTTCAATGTTTAGGGGAAAAAAAAAAAAAAAAAAAAGAGCTCCTTCTTGGAATTGTTGGCAAAAATTCAGCTTCAGGTGCTTTGAAGTACTTCCAGTACTTCAGAAGCCAATGCATGTAAACACGTGCAGAGCTGATACAGAAGGTGTCTCTCAGTGAACAATAGAAAATAGGTTCAAATGTAAAGGACACGTTAATTAATAAAGCACTGATTCAATCTCAGTGCACCTAGTTTCTCCCTCAGATCAGTCATACCTGCTGCATGACTTTGGGAAATCAACAGTATATCATATTTCAGTTTTCACCTTCTAAAGCAGGATGATGTATTCAAAGTGCTACAGGCATAAAACCCATTACGAAGTGCAATGCAAACTAAAAACAGGATCTGCTTCAAACTTCTGCAGGTAAAATGTTTGGAACGAGTGACATACTTCCTACCAACACACAGCAGCAGCTACCACTCACTCTGATGATGAACCTTCCTGACAACAGACTGCCAAAAAAAACAGTCTGGAAGGAGCTTGAATCAAGTTAAGGTCATGCATTTTCAATACCAAGCAATTTCCTACAGTGTTTCACTCAAGCACAAAGATATTCTTAGCTTTGCATGACAATACACAACAGTGGAAATAATGCTGATGATTAAGTTAATACCCACAGCTTTAAGTTATTCTTCACCAATCATGCATCATCATCATCTAACAAGTGGAAAACAAACATCTATGCTGGCAAGTCAGACAAAAACCTGCACTTGGACAGAATAACATAGCATGGGCCCTCCTGAAAAAAAATAAGTAATTGCAAGGAAATAACCAAGCGTGCCTCTTTTTAATTTAAAAATCTCAAGAAGCAGAACATGTAACAAGAGCTAAGAAAGATTTATTTCATCATAAAAGCACCTGCCACTATTCTGCCAGCTGCTTGCCATGAAGAGTACAAGTGTACAGAGAAAGGTGTCAGTGGAGTGTAAAACAAGTAATTGTCAGAGCTTGAAAATATATTATGCCAATTTTAAGCACTGCTTGAAGGAATTTAACAAGGGCAACAGCCTCACTTGCATTTGCAAGGTACAAATTTACGAAGATACAAGCCGTATTTAGATTTAATGTAGTACAAGTAGTTATGGTGCATTAGTGAGTGAGTGATGAATGTAAAATAAACCTTTCGTTTTTCATGCTGAGAGTGGAAGATTTCAGTGTTTAAAGATAAAGGTTAATTCCTGGTAATAATCTTTGAAATTGTCATATGAAAGACATGACTAACATCTGTCGATTAACAATCTGTGGGTATGGAAAGCACAGAGCAAATTATTTGCCTTTTGCCAGATCTTCGCCACATCTGATTACTTTAGAGAAATGTGTAACTAAGAAAAGATCTCCTCTACTCAAATCCTTCCTCAAATAGCAGCTCTGTAGCTATTCTGTATTATTTTACATTTTCCACAGAAATTAGTATTTTAAGGAGTAATTAATGTATTAGGTAAAGCCAAGCAAATCTAACAAAGTTCTGCACTATGAAGGCAGGCTTGTAGTTCTTCTGTCACTCAATGTTTGAAGGTGAGATAGAGGTATTTTCTTCCCACTTACCTTCATGCTTATTTAAGAACACGCAGAGCAAAGGAATTCCACAGACTGAAGTATCTTTTGAGCTCTTGAAAAATATTCTGTGCAAGGAATTTTTCTCTTGTGTACTGATGGCAATGGCTTAGAGGACACAATCTTGGCACAGGCCAAGTGACACTAATCATAATGATGGCAAAGAAGGGTAGCATCAAGTGCTTTTAGCATGGCATTGTTAAGGCATGTCCTCAGCAAACACGCAAGAAGGAAGGAGGAAAAAAACAACTAAGTGCTAAATGCAGTGGTAACTGGGAGGACAGAATGTGCGAACTGTGCATGTTTTCACGGAAACTGAAGAGCGGAGAAATTACAATTTGCCAGCATTGAATTTCAGACCTAGAGTTCTGCTAAATAATCCCCCAGATCCATCTCTAGACTCGACCTCAGGGGGTATCTCAAAGCATTACTCTCAGGTCCTTTGAGAAGATTGTTCACATGTGAAGCTGATAGCAGTTACCAGTATCATCTCACTCACAGATATTACACTTCTAAACCAGCCCTAATCAACATACATACATTTCAGGGACATTAAAAAATAATAGTAATGATAAAATAAAAATCTGAGCAATCAAAAACTTTTGATGTGTTGTTTTTGATATTTTTCATTATGTTCTGTAAGATTGCAATAGGTCATAGCTGACTTAGTTTAAACCACTTGAGCCTGCTCACTGGAGTGGACATCACCAGAGCTAGAATACACTGCTCTATTTTCATGAAACTAGGGAGAACAGGGCAGGATGGATTACCAGTCCTTTCTATAGCATCCAATTCTCGAGCAAGAGTTTTGAGTTATGCCTGGTTTTTCATACATTTTATTTAGAGTGTACTCTATAACCTAAGTAGATTTAAGCATCCAGTGCACAACACTAGAACCTAAGATCACCCTGCTACGTATACATCTCCAGAAGAAAACCTCAGGATTGTTGAAGACTAGCTGATTGAAAATAAATCATTCACTTCTGGCTATGGCAAGAGCACAAACAGCCTTTACCTTGTTTTCTTTGACACCAAGACTCAGCACTTCCTTTGCTTTTGAAGACAAGTCTTAAGTGGCATCAACATGCTCCAGACATAAATTAAAAGCCTGTTATATAGCAAAATCATCACATGTCCTATTACAGTTATCTTAGATAAGACATTTCCAAGACTCAATTTCCTCAAAGTGGGCAAGTTTGGGAAGAGTAATCAGCTGATACTGTCAGCTATGGAGGGATCGAGGTAACTGCACTACTTTACAATAACTGGTAATCTTTCCCATAACTTGAAGTGAGGGTTGATGTAAGTAGTCCTACCATTGTGCATAGGTAATCACTCTGAGTAGCAGCATATCTTCATTCTGTGTTATAGAGAGATAGGCTAAAGGGAAAGCTAGATGTGCATACAGAAAATAAATTCTTCAAAAGCTGCTATATGCAAGTTTGCTTAGAGTTTAACCTCATAGAGTTGGTGTGTGGATGAACTCCTGAAAAATTATCACTAAATGCTTTGTCTATTCTTAGCATTGGCTAAGAATGCTTCCATGCTCTCAAAACATTGGCTTTAAGCTATTGACAGAAAAAGGACAGTAGGCTGTATATATTTTTTTGAAATAAACACATCATAATAATCAAATCTCATTATATATATATGATATATATATATATCATAATAATGAAATCTCATTATGTTTCCATTCAAAAAACGGTTCTGAATTCTTGGGTTTTTCTTTCTACAAAAATAAATAAATACATAAAATAAATACATAAAATAAAATAAAATAAATAAATAAATAAATAATAAAATATAAATACATAAATAAAACAAAATAAATACATAAAATAAAATAAATACATAAAATAAATAAATAAATAAATAAATAAATAAATACAAATAAATGTTGCACCTTTTCTTGAGAACTTAATGATAACATTTACTTCACCGTGTACTGAAACACTGTTTTGACATAGGCAACAACAATATTCTTACCATAAATGTAGGAAACTCCAACAAGCTCAAATATGGCAATGATGACAAGGGAATAAGAAGCTGCGTAAGTGTCCACAAGTTGTAACATATACATTCCACCCTGAGGAAAAAAGAAAAGAGCAGTTACTTGTGGCCTACATGCCTCTCCATGTTCCAAAATAACCCTGTACTAAGCATTAAGGTAGGAAAAACAGACAAGAGCAGGACACAAGATACTTTTCTAAGCAAGCATCCAAATATTGAAGAGATAGAGATTCAAGCCACATTACTATTTCTTCCTTCTACTAAAGGAGTAGCAGATGTTCTGCACCATAGACCATCTCAGCTAGAAAAAAAAAACAGAAAGAATGCCAGATTGTGGTGACTGAAACACCTTGGGAAGGGGAAGACATAGATGTCAGTCCTTTTAGATTAAGGAATGCAACCTGATCTTCAGTTGGCACCACGGAGTACAACATCCAAAGCAAAATCACCATTGAAACTAGAAATAATAGTGAGTCCGATTGATTCCTCTGGTGGAAAGGATATAATGCCCTGTCCTCAGAAGAAAGCCTGAAGCAAAATAACTTAAATGAATGAAGGACTAAATCCATCCCAAACTTTAGAACAGCAGAGTCACACTGGTAGCTGGTGAAGAAAGGCAAAGAAAGCCAAAGAGGGGAAAAGGATGGATAAGGGTAAGAGAGTCTGCACACCTCCTCCTGAAATTTTTCAGTTTACAATGTGGGAGGAAGTTGTGGAAAACAGACAGCAAGGATCATCCATGGTAGATGAGAATTTCATAATTAACTCCACAGTTTGCCAGGGCTATCAGTGCATATCTATGTTACCCATGTGAGGGAAGTAATGCACAGGTTTAGGTGGCATACTAACGTTTGGGGGGTTTTTTTGTTTTGTTTCTAATCAAATACCTGACTTATACGACCACTTGGAGATGCTTGGTTAGGAATAAATTTTAAGAGAGCCAGACTTTCAGAAAGATTTGAGAAACCAAGTCTCTTCAATGCATCTCAGCCAGAGCGTCCACACACAAAGCTTTCAAACTCACCTGGTGCCTTTCATCATTTGGCTGAATTCTGCATCCTATTTTGCAACTGTTTCTTGCAAGAACAGGCAACGGCCACCAGAGGGAGACTGGGGGCAGAGAGCGGTGCTCAAAGACAAAATCTTTACCTGAGTGATCATAGGAAATCCCATGATGAAAAAGGAAATGCAGCACCCAAGAGTGAACAGTGCCTTGTGTGTACGTAAGTATTTGGGGAATTCGTCTGAAACAGAGGTCACTATAGTCTCGATAGTGGCAAACTGAAAGACAAAATAAAGAGATTCATTTTCATACACACAATGTACTCAAAATGGTCCAACTGGATACACTGCAAAGTGAGACAGAGTGTTCTGAATCTTTGGTGTTAAATGCTCGGATGCCAATGCCAAAGCATTGCCCAAATCATTTCAGCACTGATAGCCTTAATTCTTCTCGCTCTTTGGAAGGTAATACATAGACCACACAGAAAATAGCAAGCATTCCCCACACATAAATAGGAAAAGCACCAGGAAAAGGATGGAAAATGAAAGCATTTTACCATAGTGTCCAATCCAAGTGTCAGAAGCATCAAAAAGAATATGATAGCCCAGAATGGAGAGAGGGGAAGCCTAGTTAGAGCTTCTGGGTAAACAACAAAAGCAATCCCAGGACCTGGAAATGATAAAAATAAAGTTTGTGATAAAATTAATAGTATTAATTTGGTTGACTCTATGGGGAAAAAAGGAGGGAAAATCAAAAAGTAACATTTCAAAGTATAATGCTTGATAAAAGTAAAAAGCAATCCAAGTCAGTCTCTGCTGTGTACAGAAATATTTTACCACTGTAAGACTGAGTCTCAAATGATTAACTTTCATTTTAGCTATAAGGTTCAAGACATTTACACACTGCTACCTTCCAAGCTGCAGAACACACTTTTAACCACTATGCTGATACACTGATCCAAACAAGGATAAACAAAACCATGTATTATGGCTATTTCTTTCTCACATACCAGAAAACACGTTCTATTTGAGCAGTATATGAAATAATCTACATAGTCAACTTGTGAAGCATTTCCAGTTCCTTGAAACAAAAGACACATGAAATTTAACAGCAGTGTGGGCTGTTAAAGACAGGAAAACTCCAAAGGTTTTGCACGTGTTGGAATTTTAGAAGTCAAATGACCTTGAACTTTCATTTTAAATTACTAAAGCCTTTCAGTAATGTTGGAATGTTCTTAATCAAACCGTGAGAGTAGAACCAATATAGATTGCCTCTCCCTTTGTGAAGAGAATTTTATTTTTCATCAGAAACACAAGTTTTTCCTGAAAGACAGATTCTAACTGAGAATATTATATAGTACTTCAGATTAATATGTTAACAAAAAAAAAAAAGGTCCCTTCCCATTCCAATCAACAATTTGCATTCAGGTTACTGCATGCTTTGAAGGCAGATTACATTGCATCATGGCTGACCATCTACTGTCCTAAATAATATGTCACCTCCAGGTAAATGTACCAGGTTAACCAAGTGATTCCTCTACCATCCTGCCACCCAGATCCTCCAGCCCTCTCCTCAGCTGTCCCTTCAGAGCTTCCACGGCAGATTCACCCAAGGACGGTGCTCCGTACGATAAACTGACTGCACTGTGGTTTGGATTGCAGGATGCTTGATCTTGATCTTAAATAAAAATTGAGTGTAAACCCAATGGTTGCCCTTTAATTCTTCCCAACCAACAGCAGTGTTTACATCAGAAATTGATAGATGTCCTCTTGCATCATGTCCGTCTCTCGTCTCACTGCTGAATTGATGATACCTCTGTAAAGAGGTTCTTCATCTCACAACCAGAACCTTCATATAAGGACTATGAAATGCAGACATGCTATCGAGAAGGCACATATGATGACACACAGCAATAAAACCTGTCTTACTAACCCGTCACTTGGCTGGACTCAAATGACACTTAGCCAAGATAAGTTTAACACAACTTGGAGATGAAGACTGACCGTCAGCTAAACTCACACAGTTTTTCCCAAACACAATGGTCTAATTCATCCAGAAGATAGGGACTACAACGAAACTTTTCCATTCCTATTTAGCTGACTGGCAGACCAAAAAAAAGAAGAGATGAAGCACCAAATAATTAATTGACATGGCATAGGCCTGCAAGGGTACTAACCCCTACTATATCTTGCCAGTTGGCCATCCTCTCTGGTCATCTCAGAAGTACTGCAAACTCTGTGTGATTATGTATATTTCAGTTTCAACTAGGAAAAAAAAAACAGAAGGAAACTAAGAGCCTTTTATTTCTCTTAACTGGCAGAGCATCTTGTTCACTTCAGTGTTATTCCCTTCCTTTTACCTTCAATAGCAGGTTTCTAATGAGCAATGAGAAATATTAGGGTTCTGAGAAAAGATCAATCCATTTTACTGGTTCTTGTTCCATCAACTACAGGATTTCTGCTTCCCATTTATCTCTTATAACATTATCAAATACATATTAACCTTAATACCTAGTTTTTCTATGAGTATGAATGTTACCATACATAAATGAAGGAAACTTTTCTCCATTTCTATCCCCTACTACCGACTCGCTGATACCATTTCTGAATCACAGTTCTCAATCAGTCAAGTACCTTAAGCGATACATAGTGCCTTATGGCACTGAATTTATCTACACAACAAACCTGTCAGAAAAGATGTTTTGTACCTTCGCATTAATGCAGGCAGCGAGACACTTCACCTACAGAAGTGCACAGCATGCAAAATTCCCTTCTTGAACTCCTTAATCTTTCTTCAGTTCAGAGCCTTCTTTTACTCCGTGCTATTGCAGGGTGAAGGGGGCATAGCATGGACAGCCTTCCCATAGCTCATGGAGAAGCTACTAAAATAGATTATTTTAGTGCTTCAAGATGGCTCTATGTTGAAGTTTAATACAATACACTTAACCCTCACACATACACAGAAACAGCTATGGTGGGAAGTGTAAATCTGCATATAAGTTATTGTAAAATGACTTCAGGCTTGTCCTTTTAACGCAGTTTGAAATGATCCTAAGGGTTGGCTTAGAGTTGAAGTGCTGCACATTTCACAGGGAACATAGCTGAACTATCCCATTATAATTCAACCCTGTAAGCTTCTCTGAATAGTACCCCTTCCTACATCCTGCTGCTTCATATCAAATCATACACAACAGCACCAATTCCTCCATCGGCCACATTCTACTCATATCAATTCAGCTCTACCAATTAAGATGTTACAGACCCCCATTTCTAATCATCTCTCTTCATTATTCAAGACTTTCTTAATCTGTACCACTATAATACATTCCAGACAATTTTTTACACTTCATTGTAGAAGCATCTCCATATTCCCCACAGTTCAGAAGCATAATCCACATCTCAAGTTGTATTTCTTCCACCCTGAATTGCAAAGCCCACCACTTCCCATCCAAGATCTCCATCATCAGGAACAACTTCTACATCGACCAGGATGTAACAAGGCAGCAGCAAATAGCAGCTGACTGCTTGGATTATATAAAGGAGATATCTCATTCAAAACACTCATTTAAAGAGCTTTGAAATGAATTTCACCTTGTTGCTTTCTCTTATCAAATGAGTGAGATCTTTACTTCCAAGTAATGAGTACTGGACTTTTTTCTGTATCAAGGTGCACATAAGTAGATTACTAATCCATGCCATTTAGAAGCCAGTATTCCCACCTTCACTGCTGATAGAATCATCAATAATAGAGATAAAGGCGTCACCAGAATTGTGTCCAATTAATGAAATGGCAGCATACCCTACCTTGGTCTGCCACAGCTTCAATATTCACTTTGAGCTCGTTTGCCATGAAGCCAATAACTGAGAAGATGACAAAGCCTGCAAATATACTTGTCGCACTGTTGGTACATGTGACTATCAATGTGTCCCTGGAAAGAAAGCACAAAAAGGGAAGGTTCTGTATGCATTTCAAGACTCTCACATGACATATGTATTCTGTAGGAACTCTGGCGAAGAGGAACTTTTATACTTATCCAGTATTTTTGACACCGGTCTGAGACGGAAGTCTTCACATCACAAGAAGTCAGCTGTGCAAGTTTTCATGACTCATACACCATGTAGGAAGCCACAGGCTAAACAGAAGGCTGAAATTTTCTGCTTCTGGCATCACTAAGGACAGTAGCAGTGACGTAACAGAGTGCTTTAATTCTGCCTAATGTGGCCATCTACTCACTGCATTATATGTGGACTACTCATCAGAGCCAACACAAGATTTCCTAAATAATACTGTACACAACCCATTTGTGGAGGATTCTCCACTACTGCCCTCATTTTTTGGTGCTGTAATGGGAATTTCAAGAATTTGAATTCCATGCTATGCTGGGTAAGTATATGTGGTCTGGCAGGAAGCAAGCCATCATTGCCCCTGTCCACAATTAGTGCATTCCTTATAGGATTTTTATTTCATCTTCATGATAAGAGCTTGAAATACTTCCCCTTACACCACTGTGACTGAAAAAGAAAGAAGTAGTTTGCTCTAAATGTCTTCCAAACATGGCTATAATTGCTAAAATTGCTTATTCTTATTGGTATTTCTTTGTCAGGAACAGAATTAAATACAAACTGAAAAGTTATTAAGAACTTCAATGAGTTGACAATGCTCCTGGAAAGGATGACAGAGCATCACTTAGAAGGAAGGATTACATTAACTATTTGGACATGTATAAAAAAAAAATATACTTAAGAAAAAAAAAAAATGTGGATTAATATTCTTCCAAAAGCCAGGTAAGTTTTAAGCAAATATTTTATGTATGTATCACCAAGTGATTTCATATAAATTTACTCCAATCCAAGATTATCTAGTAATGCTTCAACTGTATATGTAACAGAATTCTAGAATTCCATCTGCATTATAATGTAATGGTTTTAAAAAGTGAAAGAGAAAAAATTGTCAAGCTTGATTTCAGTATTCAAGATACATTGTAGAATTAACCAGATTAGAACTAAGTCTTTCTTATTATTTTTTCTTCTCCCTATCCCTATCATATGTTAAGCATGCACAAGAGCTTTAGTATTTTTTATATTTCATTACCACCTATTACATTCAAATTTTTCATTAATATTTTCAATTACTGCAAAACACTGCTAATATAGCGTAGAAAAAAAATAGTATGACACCTGAACAATTTTTCCCCTTACACTCGTAATGTATTCATTCCTCATCAAAAAATAAAAGTACAGGGCAAACATATTCAAAGGCAGAACCCAAAGAACAGGAATCAGAATGGGTGTGTTTTAAGGGAAACAAGACTGACCCTAAAGATAGCATAAAGCATCAGTGAAGCTTTCTGCTAATCTCCCTTGCTTTCATTTTTGTCCCCCTGTCTGCAGGTAGTTATTGTGCACATTTCTTGACAAAACCTATACTATATCACTAAAACAATCACTTCCCTCACAAAAGTAATTTTAAGTGTTGGAAGCTGAAATAATTTCACACAATAAGTGTGATTGGGGAAAAAAAAAAAACATAAGAGGGTTGAGAAACACAGAAATTGCATGCTAAACTTAAGCACATATGAACAATAGCAAACTTCAGCTTATTCCACACCCAGGTTGTTCTTCAATAGACACTGACAATTGGCATGGTTTCATAAACACTGCTCACAGCTGTTGGCAGCTTCTCAGATTCTCTTTCAACCTACAGCTGCCAACTCTGAAAATGAAGTGTCAATAGGGACTATAATTAACTGACAATTCATCTTGAGACCCAAATTAGGTTAGGACCTGGAGAGAAGAGGCAACAAGACAAAAAGGGAAGGGAATGAAAACTAAACATTATGGAGCAGTAGGCATTTCACATTTCTGCAAGTTGGAAAATAGCAGCATTTTTGGACAAGATCTCTTTAATAAGTCTGATGAACTTTATTCCCACATACCTGTAGCAGTTATTATGGAATTTGTTGTAAGAAGAGAGAGTAATTAGACCTCCCCATGCTGCAGATAAGGAGAAGAAAATCTGAGTGGCAGCATCCTTCCAAACCTAAATAAGACAGACAGGAGAGGAAATCGCACTGGCTTCAGGAAAGAATTAGTGAGATCAATAACACTAAGAATTACTGCTGGGGATTAACACATAAGTAGCTCAAATAACCTTTGGGGCTGTGGATGTAAATAAAACAGCATTTACAAATAAAATCCTGCCCTGAAATATAGCACTCATTTTATTAGGAATACTTGTTCAGCCCAACTGAAATGATACGTCATCTTGGCACAAGGGCACAAGTATTCAGCACACTGTGTTGCTGGGTACATGTCGTTCTAAATACATTCAGCAAAAGAAACATAAATGAAGAGGAAAAAATCTGCATTGGTCACTGATGTGACAGTTCTGTTATCTTCTTAAGGAAAGCAGTGTGATTCTGTGATTCTGTATTGTTTGTGAAAGATGTAATGCTACCATCACCGAAGGATTACAGTACTCATTGTTTATAGAGATAAGGACATGAAGACCTGTAAAAGCCACACCGCTATTGACAGAAGGAGGTGCTCATGTGCCATTTCAAGCAATCGAAATCCATGTGTGGATTCATGTCTGCACAAATACAGAGTAGGTGTGTCTCTGTAGCGTGTTTCACTGGTTTATTTAGCAACAAGCAGCATCACAGCGATCAGCTGAAATTTAAGTGAGAAAGCAGAGCTGAAGCATTCAGGCCAGCCTATTTTTTTTCAAAGAGAAAAGCCAGGTACTGTGTCCTTTATTTCTGTGTTGTGCTAGATGGAAAATAACATTATTTCTTATGAAGTAGCTATTGTAATGATCACAGCTGTTCCGTGTAAGCCTAAACACTGCTGAGGGGGGAGGTGTTAGAGTAAGTTGTATGATTTACATCTCAGGTTCATTTTTCAGAACTGTTGAATTTATTCAGTGAGAAAAACTTCTCCAAATTTCTGAAGACATTTACAGAGAAGTGCAGCTTGTGTTACCAATTAAAGTTTCATGTGTTTGTTCAAGTCAATGCAGCATCCATTTGGATAGTAGCATGTAAAAATCTCTATCTCCTTTTTAATTCCCCACAGTTGATAGTACTGCCTCTGCACACACACAAAATGGTTGCAACAGCCATTAAGTGAGAAATGTGTACGGATTATTCATCCTATCAGTTACAAGTGCAGCAAGCAGCTCACCATAGCATCAATGAGCTTCTCCCACTTGGGCGTGATGAAGTACCAGATCCCAGCTCCAGCCCCAGGTAGTGTCACACCTCGTATAAGTAGGATGATGAGAACCACGTAAGGAAACGTTGCTGTGAAGTACACGACCTGGACAGACCAAAAAGATTGTTAGAAGGGGTCCTTTGGATCTATAAGAAGAGGAGGAAAGAACTGGAATTGTTACACTATTGCCTTAAAAAAAGCAGTTACTGGGGATCAGAGAAAACAGCCAGGGGATAAGACTAGAACAGAGATGTAATTTTTTTTTACATCTCTTCTTACTGCTGGAAACAGGAATAATATTAATGATAACAACTGGGATTGCAGGGGAGAACAAAAAGGAGAAGAGAAAGCCTGGAGAGCAACAGTAATTTAAAGCTAAGTGGGAACACCATATTTGATCTTTTTCCAGATCTAATACAGCTCACTGGAATTCAAACGAGCAATGTCACTCAAATACCACCTAAAGATCCAAGTTTTTTCCCATGTATTGTGCATTCTTATTTAACTAAGCCAAAAAATATCTTCTAAATCAGTACCTCTTATCTCTTAATAATTACATATATCAGCATAAAAATATTCATGGACTCAAAGCAAGGACAAAAAAAAAAAAAAAGTCAGCAGAATGATTCAGAGAGACATAATAATCATTGGGTCTAAAAACACAGCAGAGATTGTGTACTAAATGTCTTCATAATTATCTAGTACAGAGCAGGGCTCTCTCTAGTCAAATAAAAAGGCAAAGTTACAACCCGTTAGGCCATACTCTCTACCCAGAAGTATTTAAAATCCTTTTACACTTCAACTTCTGGATCCCACAGGGACTGGAATCCTCTGAGCTAAGGTGACTTTTGAAACTGCTTTTCCAGCTTTCTCCTTGCTGTTTCAAGGGGCATTTCAAGAAGTTGCGCTTAGTGCAGTGAATGGAATTCCATTTAACCATAGTGAGTGATAAAATCTATTTCCATCTAAGCAGTATTCCTGGGAAATAGCTACATCAACATATTGGCACTTGGTTTTTAAAGACATGTACAGGCAGATCAGATTCCTGTTTTCACAGCATCTCAGAAGCAACTGAAAAAAATTACTCCAGAGAAAGAGAGAAATTTTTATCCAGGAGAGCCAGACATATGGCTGTTCCAGATGAGTGTTGTTTCCACTCTTCATTTTAAAACAAATTTACTTGAGGTTTCTTATGTAAACTGGAACATAATTAAGCTAGCCTGATGTATGTCATTCACGGATTTTGTTTTTATGTTAAACCTAGCTGCAATTCTGTCGTTTAGATTAGACATACACAACTTCAGCAGGTTAGTAGTCTCCACATCAGTACAGTACATACAATAATCTAAGCATTGAGACCTCCAAAACCAGACTTTACCAGTCTGGTTCTCAGCTCATTCAATAGACAGACCAACATTGCTGCAATTCACCACAGTGGGCACTTTGCTGACAGCCAGACTCCGGAGCCAGAGACAAAACTGTTTTCAGACTGACATATCTCACTGTTGTTAGAGTAACTTTTTCCTAGCCTCTGGATTTTTGCTATCCCAGAAAAATTCTAGCTAATCCATTCTATTCTAATGCAGGGTTGTTTTTTCATTTGGTTGGTTGGTTGGTTGGTTGGTTGGTTAGAGGGACATTAATTTTTCTCAGTCTACACTTCATAAATAAACTACATTTTGCTACAGTTCATCTAATATTTTAATCTGCAAACAGTGCAGTGGCATTGATGGAAAAGTCTCAAACACTGCATTCAGTGCGATGAAATGCACCCAAACCAGCACTGCCAGCAAAGAAAGGGCAGTGTTTCCCTGCTCAGAGGGCTGCCTTGCCAACCAGTGCACCTGTACTTCACTGTCCATGAGATCACAGCTTCCTTCTTTACATGGTCACAGGCTGTGATAGTTGGCCCCAGGCCAACTGGGCTGGAGATTCAGGATGCAGGGGAGGGAATTACATGGAGGTAGGGGAAGGAAATGTGAGAAGCCAGAGGAAGGGTTCTGGATTAAGGAAAGGAATAGTTTCAGAAAGTTGCCACCGATATTCAGGACAACAGGATACATACTCCCACTGCTCATATCCACCACAGAACTGTTCAGGTTCAGTACTGATTTAAAACTTGTTGCGTATCATCTTTGTTTACATCGGGGCTTCTCTAATTATAATGATAACTGAGACGACTGCAGAATTTTTGATGAACACCACACAGAATAGGGAAGGCACTATTTTTGCCATCCAATTGCTAAGTATAGCAAAAGGGCTCATTTTAAATTTAGTGCAGATTAGGGAGCAAAGGCTAACACAAAATTATCTTTTTGATATTACGGCCAGACAACAAATCTTAGAAAGGAATAGGGCACTTCATTACTACTTAGACATTTGTTGAAAACCAGTTCTCAGAGCTTTAAAGAAGGGCATGATTCCACCAAAGCAGTGTGCTGCTTTCCTGGAAATGTGCAATTGCAGATGATTTCCTTACTTTTCCCGATGACTTGATTCCTTTAGCAAGGGAGGCATACACAATCACCCAGGCTAGAAAAAGAGACAGCGCCAAGGGCCACCTAATCTCACCAGGGTATTCAATCCCTGCTGAAATCTTCAGTACAAAGTACCTAAAATAATAATTAAAAAAAAAAAAAAAAAGTACATTTTAAAAATATAGAAAAAATTATATATAACAACTGCAGAGAGTAATTCAGTGCAAAATCCTACAGTATTTTGTTCTGCTTTAGCATCCTCAGTGGTTCCTCTAGAAGGTTCCAGTGAATCTGACCACGTATTATTTTATGTATCTGCATTGCAGTGGGAAATAAAAATGCCAAGCATGGGCCAACACTCCAGCTGTGCTAAGCACCACAGGAATAGGACAAAAATGATACAATCCTTACAGATGAGCTTTCATTGTTATTACACATAAAAGCGGGTATCATTTATCGTCCTTAAAGACAACATTTCCATTCTTCCTGCATTACTGAGTGACTATCTGTGCTGCTGCAGATTTTGAAGTAAGCAACATAACATTTTTAAGTAAAGATCTTACTTGAAGTATTCTTCACTTCCACTGACAAATGTCTTATTTCCTTCACTGGTGAAGTTAACCATAGTCAAGTTTGGATAGGCACTCATACAGAAAGTAGAGTTCTTGATTTGTATTTTTGGGTGATCACCAACGATGCATGAATCTGGTGTGGAGGGGAGAAGAAAAAGGAAAAGAAAAAAAGTTGATTGGATTGTTTTACCATTTGAGCATAAAATGACAACGAAAGCATTACTTGAAATCCAATTGTGTTTGCTTTCTGTAATACTTTGCTTGCAGGAGGCTCTAATAGTAGTAAGTCTCAATATCTGACCATTTTCCTCCTTACAGCTAAAAGCCCAAGGCATAAAAAGGGTCTGAGCCAAACAAAGTTCACGGGGAAAGCTTACATCAAGCTCATTACAGGCCTGTCACATAACACCTTCCTTCCTACGTAGATGTAGACATTCCTATCGAGATGCTTGGAAGCTCAGATCCACAAAGGAGAAGCACATCACTGGCAGCAGGATGGGGTCAGATTTTATCCCAGAACCAAATGCATGCTCAGGGACACTGAGCCAGAAATGGAGCATGGGAAAAGGCATAAGCCATCACTGGTTAGTGTGGATTTTGGATGAAGAAAGCTCCATCAGCCCCCACTTACCCAGTAAAAGTTTGTTTTTGTCTTTACAGTCTGGCGTGTTCCAGGGGTTGTTACAGGACGCCCAAGGGAGCACGGGTACAAAGGAGGCAAAAAGGTAGAAAAGAGTGTAGCACAGAATAATATTGTAATATATGGCTATCAGAACGGAGATGATCAACATCGCAATGCCGCAGCCTGAGAGAGAGAAAAAAAAAACAACAGCCAAGAGGGAGTCCAGCAGGGGGGGGCTCCCCAAAAGCAGCCAGGGGTGGGGGAGGCTGCTGCTATCCCTCTCACCTTGCAGGGCAGGGATGGCTTTCCACACCGAGACAGGGCCCTGGCTAGCAAACTGCCCCAGGGAGACCTCCAGAAAGAAGATGGGAATGCCGGCGAGAGCCAGCATCATCAGGTAGGGGATGAGGAACGCACCTTGGGGGAGAGAAGGAGGAGAGCAGAGCACAACATGAGTCACGGGGGGGCGGCAGCGGCCCGGGCAGCGCGCAGCACCGAGAGGGTTCGGCAACACCGAAAGTGGTTCTCTTTGTTTGAGGGTACCGGTGCCCGCAGCCCCGACGGAGAATGAGCTTTGCTACGTTTCCAGCTCTATCTCAACATGGTAAGAGCGTTAGCTGAGGATTTTAACAGCCCCCCGCTTTTGTAAGCGTAGGGAAAAAAAAAAAAAAACAAACAAACAAACAAACAATAAACCTGCACAACTTTTTAATCTATCTATATTTTAAAGATTAATATCCTCTAAACCTCTGGCACAAAGCAGTCCTCACGGGGGCGATGCAGCTGTTTAACACGACCACAGCACCAAGAGCCCCGTGCCATAGCGCTGCGCTGGCAGCTGCAGCGGGTGGGCAACGCGAACGGGAGTTTGAATGGAGCCTCTGCGGGCACAGTTTCTTCCTTTTGTGAACCGTTAACCCTCCCCTTCTGAATCTTTTCCCATAGAATCATATTCTATGATTCCATTTGGCCGAACAGCATTTCCGAAGAGTATTTTTCAATTTGTCACCAATTGCGTTAAGACCAATCCTCAAACAACTCAAAACAAGACGAACATTGACTCTGCTTCCACTTGCGTCCTGGAATCCTCTTTCTCCCCTCTCCCCTGCCGCTTTCCCGTCCCCACATCGGGGACCATTGGGTAAAGGATGCGGCTGAAGCGACCCGTCGTTCGTTCTTCGTTCTCCTCACTCTCCTACCTGGCATTTTTTTATTTTTCATGTGTGTTTCGTTCGTTTTTTTTGTTGTTGTTTGTTTGTTTTTGTTTGTTTGTTTTTTAAAGGAAAACAACACATGCGAACGAAATCTCGTTGAAACTTCCCTGCTGACCACCAGCTTTTCAATAGGAATAATAATAACAGAAAACCCATCCAAACGGAAAGCACAGCGAGGACTTGCTCTCAATCTGATGCTGCGGGCACGTACGCGACTGCCCGGCCCCAGCCTCTGCTCCCCTCGGGTTTCTCCCCACCTAGGGACGGGGGCAGCTCCGAGCTCAGCCACGTACGGTACTGCAGGAAGAGAGACAGGAAAAAGCCATCCTACCTCCCCCATTCTTAAAGGCCAGGTACGGGAACCTCCAGACATTGCCCAGCCCCACTGCATAACCCACCATGGAGAGGATGAAATCCAGCTTGCTGGACCAGTTCCCTCGGGCTTTGTTTTCATCCCCTACATCGTCTTCCTAAAGGGGGAAAAAAAAAACGAAGGGGGAAGATCGGAAAACAGCCACGGTGGCAAACAACCATCGCAATTAGCGGCTGCCCCCAAAGGAAGGGAGGTGGTGGGTGTGGAGCTACGACCGCATATGTATCCCCTGTCCGGTCCCCCTCCCGTGCTTCCCCTGGGGCGAAGGGCGCAGGGCTCGGCCCGACATTTCCCTTCGAAGCTCCAACCCCTGCAATGCGTATCTTTGGCCCGAGGGGGGGGAGGGAGGGGAAGGGGGAGTGAGGAGAGGGGAGAGGGGGAGGGAGCTCAGTCCCCGGAGCGGGATCCCCACGGCTGCAGTTCCGGGGTGCCCTCGGGTGTCCCCGCCCGCTCCTGCAAGCTCAGTCCTTTACCCCGAGAAAACTAAAAATCGTTTTTGCGAAACGAAGCCTCTCCATTTCTCCTTTCGGGATAAAGCCGGCTCCGCAGGTCGGTAGGGACGATGGGGGTGGGGTGCTCCTTCCCGGTCTCCCACCTCGCCAATGTCAATCACCTCAGAGCGCAGGGGCAGGGTCTGACATTTTGGGGTCTCGGTTGATTGATTTGGCCCTATTTTTGGCGCCGGGGCGTTCAGCTCGGGTGGGGGCACGGAGTGCACGGAGTGCACAGCCCGTGAAGGCTGCAGAACCTCCCGCCGGAGCCAAGGGATGCCCAAGGACCCCAAGTTTCCTTCTCTGCTCTTTCTCCTGGGGCAGACTCAGGCACGAGCGCAAGGAACATCTCTCCCACTGGTCCCAGGCAGCGTCGGTGCCTGGAGGGCACGGCTCGTCGAGCACACGGGAATGATCCTAGAGCTATTGATCGGCGTTTATACCGATACCTCGTTATTAACGACAACCAGCGGCACAGCAGCTTATCTGCTGCCCTCTCTCCCCTTTTCTCTTTCCCTCTCCCTACTGAGCAGCCCCCATCCCCCACTTGTCGGGTCCGCTCCCATTAGAGCTTCAGCCCCAAATGATCTCTTACTCCCTCAGGGGGGCGAGAAATCCTGCAAGGAGGAACTTACCCCCTCCACTCTGCCGGGAAGAATAGAGGTATTGCCATCTGTACCCAGTACCACGGTGCTTTGGCTCAAGGTCACCCAGGTGCTTTTGGCATTGTTTTGCTCCAGTGTGCTCTTTCCCAGAGCTGGGTTACCGTCCCCGTCTGTGCTTTGCAAAGCGGCAATTTTGCAGTGAGGGATCACAGCTTGCCCAGCAGCCGCTGCCCCGGCCACTTGCTTGTACGGAAAGGTCTCAGCAGATTCCCTCCGGAGCATTGAGTTGGTTTGCACCGGGGTGCTGCTGAGCTTGCAGATTCCGACTTTCGTCCTCTCCAAATCATTTTGTTTGGTTTCTTCGGTGAGAAGCGTTTTGTAGTCGTTGGAGAGCGACCGTGGGAGCCTAGCCATGGCGGCAGGGGGTTGCAGTGGGGCGTTCTGCGGCTCGTTTTCAGGGCTGATTCTTGCAACACCTGCACCTTCATTTGGTCCAGGAGGAAGTGTTTCAGGACTGTTCACAGCCTGCCTGTTCATATCCCTTTGGCTGGTGTAATCCTGAAATAACAATGTCACATATTTTATTAAAATAATTTTTAAAAAATGTTCGGACTGCAGAGATCTTACTGATTTCTTTCCCCAGGCACAAAATGTGCCCGCTAGAAAATTTGGATTTCGGGGAAAAAAAAAGAAAGAAAGAAAGAAAAAAAGAAGAGCTTCGGCGAATTTCGAGGTGTCCCGGTTTCTCTGCTTGCTCTCTCATTCAATGTTTATACTCTGCGGGAGAAAACAGTCAGAAACGACAACAAAACAAAAAAACAGTGGCTGGAAACCCGCAATTCGAGTTTTAGATAAATGTTTCTACAGCACTGTTCTGCCAGACCTCGTTAGGTTTCATATCACGAGTGTAGGATGCTCCCTTCCCTATCACCAGTGTAGAAAGATTCTTTAATTTTACGCCCCATTTCCTTTCTGTCATTCAACAATGCACATTGGCTTTTCTCGCTCCCCTTTATTTTTTTTTAATACAGGCAATAGACAAGCTGCCCTGTAGGCAGGCAGAGATGTTAAAAAACGAGTGAAATAATGCTAGTGAGCATTTCTGAGCTGTCTGCCACCTTCCAAAACCCAACAGCAAGGCAGTGATATAGGCAAATAACCACACCACCACAGAGCAATTATGACCAGTAACAGATGGCTTTCCTTCTTATTTTTCTAGCATTTTCTATTTGCACATCTCTGAAGTTTATTTTTAAACATTCCCTCTAGGCTGAACTGAATACTGACATTACCATCCACCTGTCTTTCCCATCAGTCTAAAATTATATTATAAAACACATCATCTCTTCTTTTACTTCAAGAAGCCCGCAGACGGTCCTTCTCTTTTCTCGCTGTTAAAAATTATCTTTAAAAAACGTACCCTCTTTTCAGACCTACATGCAGTGAGGTTTCACGGAACTACCCGTTGCCTTGCAAGTTCTCTACACCATAATCCCATCTCCCACCCAGTAGCGGCAGGGCAGGGGTGGGAGAGGGTTCATTTCCTGCTCCAGCACGGCACGGACGGCTCCCCATATCCCCCCAGCCCCCGGCCCGCGCACCCACCACCTTGCAGCAGCCCTACCCCGTGCTGCGGGAGCCGTCACCCAGCGGCGGCTCCACGGGCAGCACCGCGGACAGCTCCTCAGCACCGCGGACAGCTCCCCCGGCATCGCTCCCTGGCGATGGACGGGTGGCCGGGAACCAACACAAGCACCAAATTCAACCAAGACCACCCCCCTTCCCCCCTTCAGTCCTTCTGAATTTCAAAGAAAAGAAATCGAGAGCTTACCACGTCTTAAATAGCAACGGATCGACTTGGTAGAGGTAAAAGCTGTAGTATAGGCAATTGGTGGACTGGATTTTGCCCAGTCCAGAGCAAAGCTTCTATACTTCCGTGGGAAAGACTGGGTTTGCGTCAGTGCATAGCAAGGTGCCCTTCGTTTGACATTTTTGTGATAATAAGAGTTTGATAAATCATTATCCTTGGATTCAGGTTTTAAAGGGACAACGAGAAGCCAGAGCGTTGGCTAGCTGTCACTCATGCAGCAGTGGAATTGCGTGTTCCGTGTGACTCATATAGGGGCTGATTACTAAACCAAAACCAGCAAGAGCACAGAAGAACTTTCTTTCTGGTAATTAGGGGAAACACGTGAGAAACACACAGTACTGCAGCCAGAAATGTGCAGGAAGGGGGGAACAACCATCCATTTCTACACCTCTCCCCCTACCCATGATTCTCTTTTTTTTTTTTTTTTTTTTTTTTTTTTTTTTTGCCATTCTTGTACTTCACATTATAACCAAATTTAAAATATCTTATATATATATAAATTATATATATAGCCACATATCTATTTATAGAGAGAGGCATTCACTGTACATATAGCGTACAAACATTTTAGTTGTCTTCTCTGGACTCTTTGCACCATCACACAACACTGCATTGCCTATTTTTTACAGTGCATCATGGGGGGAAGCTCTCACCCCTAAATAAATGAAAACGATACACACTGTAAGCCATTCTCCTTCACCAAAACTGTCCTGATAAGACTTAAGAGGGAGCCAAGGTGAAAGCAACTGCAGTTAGGTGAGTGGAGTTCTTCCCCACCCATCAAACGCTTTTTTGTTTGAGAACTGAGGGACGATTCCTCATCGTTCTAAGCCAGAAGTTAAGCTACAATCATTTTCCCCACGAAGTAACCCACCCATAATCATCTGTCATGTTATTTTCTACGCAAGGGAGATTTGCTGTGTACAGGGAAGCTTTACTCTCACTGAAGAAATAAAAACGCGTAGGCAAAACGGGACACTCCCTAAGCAACCTTCCCAATTGTTTTAACGTCAGAAGGAGAGCTGCTGTCCCTCCGCATACGCTGTGCTAGCGTCAGCTCCTCCCGAGACTATTTGCTGTTTCAGCGTGAGCAACGCGGGGTGCACACCTACGCGTGGGACTGGCGCTGCACTCCCGTGTACCAAATGCAACTCTCTCACGTCCTTGGCACCACGGGTCACCACCGGGGGCTGTGGGGGCGGCCCCTGGCCACTGCGGACGGCAGCAAGAACTCATCTGCGCGTGTTCTTCCATGAGCCACGAAAGCAAAGGAAACTGGTGCTAGAAAAGCCAGCTTTTCGCAGGGAAGAGCATCGTGTCTTCCCGGCGAAAAAACCAAAAAAAACAAAAAAAAAAACAAAAACACCGAAAATCTTTCACCTTACAGCAGAGCTTCAAAGTGTTTTTACAACATAGATCATGCTGGTGCTTAAAACATACTTAAGCCTGATTGCCTGCCTTCTCTTTTCAGGCGTATAACCATATGCATACAGAGGTATTTTTATGCTCATACACTTCCATGCGTTACTTTACGCTTCTCTCTTCACCTGCCTCTATGTTTCCCCGTACCAGTGCGTGCGGCACTGGGGGCACACAGCGCGTAGTTGTGCTGGGCGGGGGAGCGTCTCGTTGTCAGCGCCGGGAGCGGAGCGGGGCCGCCAGCTCGGCTGTCTTTGGCCCTGGCTTCGTGCCTCTAAGGTCACGGAGCAAGCTCGAAACGACAAGACACCAGCTCCAAACTTCTTCTAAAACCAGAGGGTTGATTTTTTGGGGTTTTTGTTTGTTTGTTTTCAGATGGTTTGATGCAATTAATTCACTCTTTTCTAATTGATATTCTTTCCCTTCTCAATTAGCACTGCAACGTGAGATCGAGGTTCTACTCCCATTTAGAAGGCCCCAGCCCCCTCACTCGATACCCACCGGCCCCCCCTTACCCCCCCTCCCCGCTCGGTGGGGACGTCGGGAGGCTCTCACCGAGCTCCGCAGCGAAGGTTCGGAGGGAAACCCGCCGAGCAACACAGCACAACACCTCTCCAAAAAGGGGAGACCTCCCCCTCCTTACTGAAAAACCGAGCCCCTCTGCGAGCCGGCGGCGAAACCTACACCTCTCAGCACCCCCCGGGCGGGCGGACAACCCGCAGCTACCAGCCCTGCTCTGAGCCCCACTTGGGCTTCAGCCGCTGCTCCGACATCTGCCTCCTTCCCCCTCCCTGTCCGCTGCGAAGTTTGCCTCCGTTGGACGGCTGCAGCCGCAGTGCCAAATTGCTCCCGTGTCTGCGCACCCGCTGCTTGGCACCGATCCACCGATCCCTGGGGAGTTAACCCGCCCCCGTTCCCAAATCTTGCGGAGATGTTCCCCCTTTGGGCAACGCGGCAATGCTGATGTGTCTGCGTGCATTAAATACATATGTATATATTTAAGAGCGATGGTGGTAACCATTGTGATAATTCACCTATAGCGATGCGTAATGCACGTAATGCAAAGCATTGCATTCCCGCAGCTATGAGCAATCAAATTCAGAACAACAGCAACAACAACAACAACAAAAAACAACAACAAAAAAAACCACTTTGCAGGATCCTGCGAAGTGATACATCTCCAATTTCCTCTTTTTCAATTCTAACCAGACGTAGATTATTTTTATAGCCTTAATTCAGCTGAACACAGTCTTCCACGTAGAACCCTTCCCATGGATCCTGCCTTAAGCCAAAGAACCTTATCAGGCTGCAATATTTCCCCTTTCTCAGTTAATTACGTCCAAATAATGAAGAGACTGTAAAAATCTTTAAGGTGATAATTACCTGTTAATTTTCTCCCGTGATATGCCTCAGGCTCACTACTGGCTCTACTATACACTTTTTGATGCTCTCCTCTCCATTCGCTTTAACCCGGATAACTCACTGGGTGGCCCTCGGGTTTTCAGCACATTGCCAAAGTCGTGCATCCTCACTGCGACAAGCACCCAGTTTCCAGAGAGATTCCGCTCCCTCAGCCGAGATCACTATAAATAATCGAAGTGAAGAGAAAGGGGGATCAGGTGGGAGGGAGGGGTGGGGGGGAAACAGAAGCATCTGGAGGAAATTTCTGCACCACTGGCCAGGCATTGATGCTCCTAACAGCTATTTAACCCATACATGCATGTTTCTTCACTCATCCAGACACTTTCCCTAACCATAGGCCAATCTAGGGCATAATAAACACAGATTTGAACCCACCAATCTCTTATCAATAAATAAATAAATATACATAAATGAAAATTTTAAAAAGAAACAAACCAAAACAAAACAAACGACTAACTTATTTAATAGAAATCACCAAACAGATGCTATTTAGAGCTCTGAATATATTCCCCTGGTTTACCCAAGGTTTTAGTAGTGTCACAGTGGCCTCCAGGCTTACCCCTAGCCTGGTCACTGAGCTCATCCCTCTGACCCAGGTAAGAATGACCTGCCCTTGCATCACAACAAGATAAAAACACCTCTGTTGGAACTAATGGTGCTTAACACTGGGATCAGGAGTTTCTGTTGATTGCACAAATGCATCTTAGGTAGGGTTAGTGCAGAGAACGAGGATGCCACAAACATCCCACAGAAAATACATCAGATTCTAGCAAATAAGGTCAATTCTAGCATTTTTCACTCTGTGTTTTCTTTTCTTTTCTTTTTTTTTTTTTCTACTTTTAACTGTTAGGTCAAAAACAGTATCGATGAAATGCAGTAGCACTTATCCCTGTGAGGTTGTGGGACAATACATTGTGTGGTCCAATTTTAAGAAAAAGCACTCAAACACTAATGTAATTGCTTTGGTGTTTCACAAGGCACAGCCTGATTGTCATTTGGACCTTTAGAGTTTCTAACTTGGTGGGAGAAAAAAAATGCCTTAAACTCTGTGTGTGCTCTCTCATAGAGGATACTTAATTTTCCCTTGTTCACCATGAGAAGGGAAACCTCCCCAGAAAAGTGATTTGAATCATGAAAATTTTTCACACAGAGATAATGAGTCAACTGTGATCCCTGTATACCAGGGGTGGGGAATCCTATACTTTCATCTATAGGGGTGCCAAATGAAGAAATCCATCACTTCACGTGTTGATTTACAGTCAGATTTACACCAGGTTGGGATGTAAACCTGAATCAGCTAGTAGTCTGTAAGACATTCCTAAGAGCAGAAAGCTTCTGAGGCTGCGGGTTAAATCTAGCTTTCCTTCATTTTGACTGAAGAATAAATATTAGGGCAGATATTCAGATAGTGCTACTCTATTCAAAAGATGTGGTGCCAACTCCCTGTCCTGAGCTCTTACTTGAAAGAGATCTACAGGAATATATTAGTGGTAACACTTCACCTAATTGCATCCACCTTAGTAGGCTGCCTGTATAAGGTCAGGCAAAGCCCCAATCTGGGTCCAAACCTTGGATGAAAGACAGGTATGCCAGCACTGTGGCAGCTGGGAACTACCCCACGGTTGAGGAACAGAAGACAGGGATATATTACACAGGCACTTTTCAGCTTCATTACACTGTCAGATGGCTCAAAGGGGCTGGCATCACAGCAGAGAATCTGGCTTACAGCTTGTACACATGCGGCTGTTACTCACAGGCTTCTCAGCTGTTAGTCAAAGCTACATAAACCCGTCACATCTGCACTTCACTGAGAGCAGACCCATGTTCTCTAATGGCACAGTGCTTTTTTTCTGGTCATGCTAAACTAGGCTTGAATTGCAACATACCTTCAGCTTCAGCTCTGAAAAGAAGATTCCAACAATATTAGCAGCAAAAAAACTTCTATTCATTCCCTAAGACAACCTGTTCATTAAATTTAGGGAATTAGATTTAAAACAAAGG